ACAATGTGACTCGTGTGCGCGAAGTTTTGAACTCAGACCGTCGACTAAGTATTCGTTTAATTGCCCAGATATTAAATTTACCAAAATCTGTGGTTCATGACATTGTGACGGAGCATTTGAACATGCGCAAGGTGTGCGCGAAGATGGTCCCAAAAGTGCTCACTGACGACTAGAAATTGCGGCGAGTGGAAGTGTGCCAAGAAAATTTAAACATGTGTGAAAGTGACCCCCAATTTTTGAATAACGTAATCACAGGTGACGAGCCATGGATCTTTGAGTATGATCCCGAGACAAAGAGACAATCTTCCGAGTGGCACACGCCGGCGTCTCCTCGCCCACGTCAACCGTCAACGCCAAGTTTTACGTAGAAGTGCTCAAGAGACTCAAACGAAGGGTCAATCGGGTCCGACAAGACATCACAGCCGACTGGAAGTTGCACCACGATAACGCCCCGGCTCACACCGCCTTTCTTGTGGACAGCTACCTGACCAAGGCCGGTATCCCAACGCTTCCGCAGCCACCTTACAGCCCAGATGTGACCTCCCCGGACTCTTTTTTGTTTGCTCGCCTGAAAAGGCCGATGAAAGGCAAGCATTTTGAGACGACAGAGAGGAATGGCTTCCATGACGCCTTCAATGCTTGGAAATCGCGCTGGCAGAGCTGCATCGACGTAGAAGGAGCCTATTTTGAAAGTTTTTAAAGAATTGTAACGATTGGCTCCATAATTTTTTTTAAATTGACTCAGTCCTGTTACTTTCCGGACAAACCCTGTATATCTTCAAATAAACGTTTTTGCATTTCTAAATTCCAAAAAATGTTGAACTTATTTAAAGTCCGATGCTGGTAACATGCTCAAATTCCGTATCTCTTTCTGTTACACAGTAATCAGTGTAATGTTATTCCTTTTTCTTTATTAGTGTCCGCTGCAATTTCTACCTGACATCTCTTTTCTATGTTCACGATATTTTCTATAAGTCAAAGTAGGCGTTCTGTCAGCAACCGTCTAGTTGCGACAGTTTTATTGGGGACTATGCCAATTTTAAACGTCCCAATTATAATTTGATTAGATCCCGGGCTGGTAATCGTCCTTAATTGTACCCCTACTACGTACCAGTTTAGATTTCAATTATTTTTATTTATCCTAATATTGTTACTAATTTAAGTGTTTCCTGTGATGACCAAGAGATTATCAGGCATATACCAGGATATAATAAAACTTCTAAAACTAGTACGTGTACAAGGTTTTTCCTGATATGCCTCTTAATAAATATTTCTGCCGCCTACCGGATTAGGTTTACATTCATCCATAATACATGAAAAGAATGTTTTACCTTGTGTTGGGACTCTTGTTGTCTGAACTATTGGCCAATGACGATTCCTCTTCTTCTTTGCTATTGGTTTGGGATTTTGGTGATTGTAGAGGTGTTTTTACATCATCCGAACTGGCATCTTCATCGTCTGTCATCGTCTTACCCTCATTCGATGCATTTTCGTTCGAGATGGTCAAGGGGGGCGGCTCTAGCTGAAAGGAAAAACACCATATTTAAACATAAAGACAAAACATTCCATGCTCTAGTAAGCGGAAACATAAACTGCCCTACTATTGGTAATTTCTTATTTTTTTTGATAACTAAAGTAGAGCTTCCAAAACTGAGCAAGCCGATACAACTTCATGAATGAAAGAAACAGAAAGAATAGCAGAATAGGCACTAAAGCACTGTTACGTTTTTTACAAAATTAGAATGTGCTATACATTTACAGTATTTTTTATCATTTCGAATACATTATTCTGACGTCGTTAAGTGTTTAGCAGTTGTCATCTGTTTCACGAGAAATTGTCAGAGATCTTTTGATGCAGTTACTTCCTCTGTTTCACGTCGTATGATCTCTGAAAAAGTTTCGAAAAGTGAAACGTTAGTATCTCCTGAAAACTTGATGGTTTTAGAATCAAGGAAGCCAGTTGAATTCATTTGTTATTGATTTAATTTAGATGTCGAGAGATCTCTTGAACCTAAACAATTTTACAGTAGAATTTGTGAAGTTACACTCCTTTTGGCAGATTTAGCATGCAACGGAAGTTGTGCGCGCATAGTTAACTGCATGAACTTAATAACATGGCTGCGTCGTGCTCTTAAAAAGGATATACAAACTTGGAAAGAATTCACACGTTTGTACTGAAGGTTTAATTAAAAATTATTCTTTGTAATTGTTTAATTGATCCGACCAACAGGATCGGGCAGAAAACTATGGAAAAATTTAGTGAAAGCATTTTATACATGTAATATTTTAATCGACACCTTGAGTTAGTTTGGGACACCAAGTGTTGAAATTTGAGAAAAGAAGAATAATCATCATCATTATAAGGTCGGCAGCCCTAAGACTGGTTGGACACGCACCACCACTCTTTCCTATCCTAAGGTAATCTTCGCATTTCCCTAAAACTAGAACATGCCACATCCTTAACTATTTGCGAACAGTAATCTAATCTAGGTCTACCTCTACTCCTCATAATTCCTGTTTCTTCTTCTAATAAGTCTCTGACTAGACCTTCATGCCTGTGAAGGTGTCCTATCCATCTATCTCGCCTATTATTGACTTCCATAGAGTCCTCTGTTCTATTATTCTTTCTAATATCTCTTCACTTCTAACCTTCTATATCCACAGTATGCTCATCATTCGCCTGTAACACTACACTTTAAACGCTTATAGCCTTTTCTTTTCCGCCGCGCCCAACGTCCATGTTTCGCATCCCTACAGCGCCACGCTCCAGAATTACACCCTTAACAATATTTTTCGAATTTCTAAATTAACCATTCGCGAGCATAGAAGTGACTTCTTTTTATTGAAGGTGACTCGACCCTGCGCTATCCTTACTTTATATCCCTACTACTTCTTCCGTTCTGACTTATCTGACTTCTTAGATATCTAAAATCGGCCGCTTGTTCTAATTTTTCGTCTCCTATCGTTATATACAAAATGGAAAACGTCTTGTATTCACAACTTCCTTAGAAATGGTGAATTACCAAGACCAAGACTTTTGTTGAAAACGATAACCTAATAAAAACCAGTAATAAAGACAACTGATGCTTCAAATAGGTATTCATTCCTCCTTAAAAGCTCTCCACGTCTTCTTTAAATCCAGCCCTAAGTTTTCTATTTTCAGCATCTCCAACACAAACACCATCAACTCCGGATTCAGTTAATGGTAAACCATCAGGTTTTCCACTTATGCCTTCCTCTGGTCCAATAGATCCTCAACCAATCCCAACTTCTCCAAATACAGATCCTGTTTTTGAAGTAACTCCTACTACTAATTTAACACCGTAACAAATAAAAAAGCACATATATGCTGTAAATGGGAAAGCTCTACTCTTAATTATAATGCTACAAAAGGAAGGCTTTAACAGCACTTGCTACAGCAAATTATTTTGTACACGACGGAAAAGATAAGGAAACGTTTCGATAAACAAAATATCTATATGTATAAGTATAAAAATCAATTTTTGGGAAACCGTCAGTTTGATTAATACGGTACTTAAGCGAATAAATTGTTAGCGATCGTCTTCTTTGAACGGCTTGTTTATCCTCGAAGTTTATCTCCAGCAGTCGTTTTTATGCGGTGATCACGGGAATCCCCGCCGATGGTTAATTTATCATCGGAAAGTTTTTTAATATCCAGGGCAGCGGCAGCACACCGTCGACAGCAGTATCAGCACAATTCATCCAACTAACGAATCAACGGACGAACGGACGGGAGGGCTCCATTTTTATATTGCTATTGCCTATTTAGTCGAAATAGAAGTGAACAATCGAAGCCGCTCACAGCAACTTTTTACTATCTGCCCTTTCTCTAATACGATTGAGCTATTAAAACTCCTTTTGGACTTGAACCTTTCTGGATATTTCCGACAAAATCAATACACTTGTTCACATGTTTTTATAACGGTTACCTATTGAGATAATCTTGTCAAAATTCGTAATAATGCTAACCACGGATACCCACAATAAGTAGAAGATGTTGATCAATGCATAACCAAGATATTATCATCATACAAGTCTTAAAGCCCTAGACTCTATGTCCAGCATAAGAATTGCCAAAACATTATAATCAGTGGACACTATGACATTGGAACTCTAACAGTAGAAGATGGATCATTCACAATGAGAAGCAATCAGATATTATTCGAAAATTTTCTTCGAGCATATCTACAGCATGGAATCAGAAGGACTTACTAACCAAATAGCAAAGTTTGTTGAGACCAAATAGCTGGCGTGGGAATACAAGGGCCGGAAGACGGTGACACAATTGTAAAATTAAGAACACCAAGAGTTTCCGAGAGGAAACTGGGTCGCGAACCCAAATGCTATGGTAAAGGAAAGGGCGAAAATGCAGAGAGAGTACTGGACGAAAGGATACGCTTTACTTTATTCAACAAATTTAAGTTAATCAAGTTTCTTGTAATTGGAAGAGAATGCCCTTGAGATACCCGGAACGAATGTGTGCGGAGGTCCAGATCACAGCTTAGCATTCAAGAGCACATCTGCCCCATTCCGAATTCACTTGCCTTGGTCCCTAGGATCTTTTAGGCGAGTACTAGAGTAGTAATCTTCACCTAATTATCTTTCATCTTTTGTGTTTCGTAGTGCCCATCGTTCTTGTCTTTCCGTGCTGCAAAAGTAGCCATTTAGTAATAAATTATATGCGTGTAGTAATGTATTGTAGCGAGCACGAGTATTTGTGTGCGATCGGGCACACGTGTGCGTGACGGCTTATCGATTCGCCGACTAGCCGTGGGCGGCTTTCTTCATGTGCGCCGTATTTGTAAATGTGTGTGTCGTACCTGCGTTCTGGAAAAGCAGTTAAACAGTTCAAAGAAACAAATAAACTATCCGGATGTTTCCTGAAGGTTCCAGAAAGTAAACAAAAGAGTATTTAAAGGAAGAGACGATCGCCGAGAAAAGTAGAAATAAATTGACCGTTGCAGAAGTGAATCCAGAAATAAATTGACAGTGATAGCAGGGAAATAAATAGCGCAGTGAATAGTGATATATCACAGTAGTGTAAATAAATAGAATTCATAACCTAAGTTTAGTAATAATTTAATAGTGTTTTTAAGTTCTTTAATAACTAGTGTAAATAAATAGTTTTTGTCGTTATCAGTGTTAGAAGTTAATTTTGTTAAACCCACGAACATTACAGTATATAATACGCTTATTAAGATCAGTCCACTTTTCGAAAATCTACTCACATAATAATTAGAGATTAGAAAATAACCCCGTCCTGCAATCTACAAACTTTATGTTCACATTGTATGTTTGAATAATTATGTGCGCGTCAGAGTAGTAAGTACTTAAAACTTCAACCTAGATTTACATCAATTTCAGACGCGCGTATTTCCGGACAGGAATTCCAGAAATTCCTATCACACCGAGACTAATGTAAAAGTTTAGTTACTGTCACCCTCGACGCATAAAACGATATAGAAAAGAATTACGGATGAAGTTACACCTGCGCCATTAAAAAACCCCAAGTGAAAAATTAAGCGAGGTGATTTTGACTTAATGTACTTATAATCCAGTTAGATATTGGAATCAGTCCACAACAACATCTTAAACAATGCCTACGGGTTGCTGCTGCTGTAATTTTCCCGGAAAATTAAGAGAAAATCGAAAGTTGCAAGATTGCTCAAAAATGTCGTGTTTTTTTACACATTTTGTTCAGTATATCGAGAGAAAGTTGTTTTGAAGACTTTTTCTTCCTCTAAAAGATAAGATTTTTAATTTTTTTATTGTAAAATGAACAAACGTTACGTCGGGATGACAAAAAAAGAAGATAATGTTTGTTTTCTATGAAAATGTAGGATAAGGTATACCAAGATATGTAGGAAAAATTAGTACTCACATAGTTCGATCGATCAAGATCAGTTATATATACATACATTTTCTATAATTCATTTGAACGAAATTTGTTAAGAAAAACGAAATTTTTGGGAAATTTTGGAGTTTTTGAGCTCCTGTAAATTGTCTAGAGAAATTAAGAAGGACGCAACTCCTAGATATTGTCTAGAATGTAGTTTAGGACTGATTCGAATATCTAGCCCAATTCTAGTTCTTGTGACCTATGATCTGGGCTAATTTCCGATTTAATCACCATTATCATCATAGTGTCGTCAGTTCTAAGGCTAACACTTCTACTCATTCCTATCCAGAGCTAATTTAGATTTGAAAATTTCTCTAAAACTAGAACATCGTGGGATGTCTAGTCCTTAAATATTGGTGAACAATAATCTAATCCAAGTCTACCTCTACTCCTCTTAACTCCTGTTTCTGCTTACTTCTAACTAGTCCTTTATATCAGGGAATGTGTCTTACCAACCTAGTGTCCCCTGTTCTCCTACTGATTCCAATACTTCTTCAATCGCTTGTAATATTCTGAATTGTTTAGGTTTACAGGGTGGAATGTGAGGAAAACAATTGAAGATGTAATTCCTGACTATCAAAACTAGGACTCTAATAAAAAAT